AGGGTCCCACTGGACCATGGAGAGTCCACACACCTGACAGACAGTAATCTGCTCTGATATTAATTGTGGTTCCGTTGTCGGGTCTCTGATACCAATTGATGTGAAATTTAGGGCGAAGAAAAACAAAAATCCAGAAGAACACAAATATTTAACGAGGTTCGGCAAAGATGCCTACATCCTCAGAAGAAGAGCGGCAAATTCACTTTTTCAGAGGAGTTACATACTCATAGGGTTACACATCTATTTATAGATAAAACCCACAGATAAATTTACAAACACGCCCTCGCTCCCCCCATGCCACTAATTCAAGAGACACATGCCACTAATTCAAGAGACACACTTCTTCATTCCAGGAGACACACCTCTTCATTCCAGGAGACACACCTCTCCAAATCCAAGAGACTCCAAATTCCTGGTATATGAGTCATACCTAACACGAACAACATTACTTGCTACTTAATTAGTTTTGAATTAATGTTATGGATAATATGATGAAGACTACGAAAAACCATATTGGAATCAAATCTTTAATTTGGTTTCGTTAAAAAAAATCTACTATTGGTACAATTTTTATTGCGAGGCAGTTAATAGAAAAGCATAAACAACAACGAAAAAGTATTTCATATGTTTTGGGTTCTTGAAAATACATATGATAGAGAGCCACAATTAATTTAATTTACATTAGGAAAAAAAAGTTTCGTAAGTTATGTTGATGGTATTATATATATGTTTGGTGGAGCAATGAGTAGCATTCAATTTAGGTGTGTTGTGACCAAAGATTTCTCACTCATAGTAAGGCTATGCCACAAATCAAAAATTAATTTATCTTTTTATTGACAATGGTGATGCTTAGTAATAGTATCTGAGATGAAGTTTTTTTTGAATTAAGTTGTTTTTGGATGGCATAATTTTGATGATCGAGTTATGTGAGAAGTAAAATGTTAGAACAATGAAGAAAATAATTAGAAAAATGGGAAATAAAATTAGTAGAATTAGTACAAAGTTCATTATCTGTTGTGTTATTTGCTATAAATTGGGTCATTTACTAGCAAATAATGATGGAAGAATGAGTGTGACGTGGGAGCTTACACACATTTTTTGCAGTATTGTAGCTGCTACAGTTCTGCGGGAATAAGTATCACGAGAGTTGGGCCGAAGTAATCCCATTTTCCTTTTTTATGTTTTTATTTAGTATTACCCTTCATTCCTTTTTAGTCCTTTCATGTATATGTGTTGTATTAGTGTTTGAAAGTCTTTTTTTGTGTTTTATATTGGGACAGACGCCGATGTCATTCCTTTGAGGGCTATATCCTAAAGTTCCAGATGGTGCTTCGCCTGTATATTGGACCTCAGGTGGTGTTTATCTTCTTTTCCCCCTTCCTCATCCTCCCCACGTAGCACCTGGCTGTCCTTCATTGCTGCACCTGCTTAGAACAACATTTCAGTTGTTGTTTTCTGCAGTTCCAGCCATTGCTATTGCCTCCCCTCCAACCTCAATTTGCTACCCTAATAGTCCAACCTACGAACATTCCTGCCTTTGCTTTCCAACTTGCCACCTAGAAACCCTTTCGCTTTGTTGTTTTCCTGCAGCCTCCAGCCATTACATCCACCCCCTCCCTTCCGACATTGTTGCCGCCCAAACTACCCCTTGTTCCTATTGTTCCATCTTTCCCACCTTCCATAACAGCTAGGGAATACCTTCCTGCTGTCCCGCTGTTATGCACCCTAATTCCACGCAGCCACCATCCAGTAGAGCAACCATACCTGCTCTGTGCATTTTCACACCTCATCCTCACTGTCACCAACATTCCTTTTTTGCCGCCACACCCGCCAGCCATTCCGATCTATCTAGCCGATCTCCACCACCCTTGGGATACATTTTAGTGGGGCTTTGCTTGTGCCGTGTCATTGTATTTTCCATTTCAAGTGTGTTGGTTGAAACCCTTTATTTGCCTTTTAGTAATATTATTTGTTTTTCTGTTATGGTTTGGGTTAACTCCGACATCAATTGGTATTAGAGCAGCCTAACCTTAATTCTCTCATAATGTTTCTGTCATCCACTATACCCAACTCTATCTCTGCCTAAATTTTTTCTTTTTTACCCTACATCACCCTTACACATCTTCTTTCCACCCACCCACATAAAATCTCCATGCCACCAAGAAGATAAATGCCAGAAGCCTGATCGAGGGGGGAAATAATGTGATGCCTTTGGCTTACAGTTTGTGAGTGGAGGGAATCTGAATGGGTCGCTCTTAACTACAATCATGACTTGCTAGATCAAAGTAAAAGAGTGAATCTTTTCCACCATGAGGATTCCAGGGATGGAGGACTTCTACCTTGAAGTTATGACCTGAAACATTTGAGAAACCAAAATTTTGAAGTAAATGTGAAATTGCCATATTTTGATGACCACATGGATTCATATGAGTTTATCGAGTGACTCTTTTTTTTACCCAACCCGGGCTTTGTAATTAAACAAGGAAGAAATGGATGATCGAACGATGTGAAATAGAATTGCGATGTTTAATTTCTATAACTAGTAATTTACAAATAAAGTGCCACTAATTAAATTAAATTAAAGCATGAAAATTAATTTACCTAGTTACTGGTTGTCCATGTCTTCTATAAATACTTTCCCTTCTTTCGTTTATATTTTAATCAACTAATTAAATTTAAAAAATAAGTTTAAAATAACTGTGAGCCAAATGTGTCAGTGAAAACTCATACTCATAAACCACAGTAATATAAGAGAAAATGAAGCAATATATATGCCAGTCTAAATTTTAATAAATCAATAAAAATATTTGATGCTATTCAAAGAACCTTTTTATATCAATAACATATCAATATTATTCTATTTCTATACAACCTTCACAGGAGCACCGTCTAATAATTATGTCAATTAAGACATTAATATCAATATTCTTTTTCCTATAAGTGCACAAGTACCTTAATGTTCCTCCACTAGTACTATCAAGACGTGACTTCATTATAGTCAGTTATGCACATACAAACAGTCAACATAAATATATCATTAATGCGCTTGCCACATTCAATTTAATTTACTATTTATAAAATATACACTATTGCATGGCGTTAAGTTGCTACAAACATTCATAGCAATGTGACCGATAAGAGAAAATATTTAAATCAAATAAAGTTTATGTAATTATCATTATCTATTAACACATAAAAATCGAGAATAACCAAAATATTACTATAGATTAAAAGTACGAGTATGTGTCAATGCCACTTAATTCGATAAGATTTTTCCTGACGTTGACTATTCTAAAGTGAAAACCTAACATAAATATAGTAGTCATATTACAAAATTTTAAAATAAATTATTATTTTAATTAAGTATTAACTTTAGGCTCTGTTTGGTTCGGCTTCTGCTGCGCGGCGCGGCGTGCGCCCGCGGCTTCGTCCCGCATTCCGGTGTTTGGTTCGGCGTTTCGCGGCAAATTGTTGGCGAAGCGGATCGATCCGCGGCCGCGATATTAGGCCGCGGTCCCCGCTTTCCTCT